CCCCAAAACCCCAAAACCCCAAAACCCCGTATGCTTACGGATGGTTGAAACATGCCCGGGTTTTCAAAGATGGTGAAACTTTAGCCTAGTGGTTACGGGAAAAGGGATGGGGTTTGGAGGAGAGGAATTGGGTGGGTATTTTAGATGTCTTTAGAGGAGTTTTTGGGGGAGTAGGGAGGAAATGGATTATGTAATTTGAAGCGGAAATTGAGGATAAAAATATTCAAAACTAGTTATCTTTCAACAGAGTTTTATGTGCATGATAATGAGGTGCTTTTTGTGTTTAATTTTCCCCCTGTTGGCATGGACTTCTGAGAGGCTTAAAAAGAAAATATTTGTTACAGAGAAGAACCCAAATGGAGAGTATTTCTCTTCAGCTCCATCTTGAAGAATGGGCTGCAAGATAAATCTTAAAACAATTGAGTTTGTATTTATCAAAAAATTATTTTAAGAAGACACCTCTATTTTTCGGTGATTGAGATAATGGTCGATCATTGCTATCATTTCCTCGACTGTGTAATCGAAATTGAGGCCGGCCTTAACTCCTTTGAGGGCAATTGCGTACAAGTCGTAGGTCCTGGCAGCCTCCTGCTCAGAAAGGAAGATATCAATATATTTCTTGGTCCTCCCAATATTGATTAGAGCCTGCCAGTGAGCATTGTTTTTAGAAACTCCAATGTATTGAGATCTTCTGTTACTATTACCCGACAAATTTCCTCTTGCTTGCTTCTGTGAGCGATGGAAAGCTGAAATCCCTCTCTTTAGGATTTGGTTTTTAACTCTGATGAGTTTTGATCTAATCTCAAGTTTTGTAGAGCGTCTCCTTCTCTTTTTGATAACCTCAGATCCTTGTGTCCCATTTGGGGTTTCAACAGTTTCTCGAAAACTTATTTGTTCAGGTAAATCGCATTTATTATCTTCTGATTTTTGGCTGTCTTTGGCTTTTTCAGTTGGAAGGGAGTCTGATTGCTCCTGCTGCACAGAAGGACTATAAATATAGGGTCAGCACTTGCTGAGACAAAGAGATATAACAAATTTGGTTACTTATCAACTTCTAAAATAACTTACTTAGTTTCACAAGAATATTTCAGATTATTCGGATATGAGCAGCTCTGTAAGTCTTGATAGCTTCCAAACCTATTGAAGCTCGGGTGAATTTGCTCTACTGATGGACAGACTCAATAAGTCTGGGCTAGTTGGTGGATTAGCACTACATAATCTTGATTGAGAGCATCATTCCATTTTGAAACAATTGGGAAATTGGGTAAGTTAGATAAATTCATAAATATTATTAACATCTCCCTTTTCAAACTTATATAGCTATCAAGAACTTTGTAGGATTCTGAAAAATGCCAAACTAAAGAAGCTTATTTATGAAACATTTTACACCTTAAACAAGCACAAAACTTATAACTATAAGCTTTCCATCGAGTAGAAAACTCTTTGAAACTAACACTAAAAATAGGGTAACTTGGGTTTTAGAAATATTTAATGTTTCTCTTTGTCAGCAATAACGCTGTTGTTTATCAATAATCAGAGACTGCTGCAAATATTTTGCTTTTTAGCTATTATATGAGCTGCCAGGTTAAAGCATAGAGAGTACTTAACTTTTTGGCAAGAATCTGCACTCTCCTATTGTACATAATTTTTACAAAGGCTAACAGCTTTATAAAAATTAGGACTTTGTCAGCCTTGCTATTGGAAGGAAATAAAAATGATTAGGAGAGACTAACTCTAGCTTTGTTTGAAGATAATATTTGAATTATTCATTTCCTCCTGCTCCTAATTGCAGTTTCTTTTATTAAATTGCAACAAGTTTTAAGAAAGTTGAGTTTCATGCTCGGCTCACATTTTTTCATTAAATTCGGTGACTTAATTTTAAGAGATCTTGGGCCTAGTGAAAGGGTATCTTTAGATAACTTAAGGAAAATTTTCTGCATATTCTGAACTCGAGATATCGTTTAAAGCTCCATGATTTAGCAAAACCGTGTGGTATTGTAAATTTTATTAGAAATAATTTAAAATTTCCAATATGGAGGACGGTGATATCTTGTAATGAAATTTAAGGTTTATCACTGCTTAGTTCAACTATAGGCAACTTTTCAATAAGTCTTGCCTTTAAAAGTGATCATTGTTCAGCTTATCTCACCATCTTGGAGGTCCATTTTTATTTGGATAAAATATTGAGAATCTTAAGATTAAAATTCTCAAATTCATCTAAGGAGATCAATTTTATTCAACAGATTATTATTTAAAGGCTGATAGAGATCGTCTCTAATCATTCTTCGGCTAATATATCATTCTTGAGATAAATATGACCCAGTTTCTCTCCTTTTGAAGGTTGATAAGACCTTCATAAAAACCAAAGCTTGAGAAATATGAAAGAAAAACTTGTAGAGCTCAACAAAAATATTGTCTTAGGCTTTGTAGGCATGAATATTACTTTACTCGATTATTGCTCGATTTAGAAGATGATGAGTAACGAAGATACTCTTCTTCTTTTCATTTTACCTCTAATTTGGTAATAATACAATCACTTGATGGCAGCGCAGAAAAATGGAAGTAAATTTTGTTTGAGAAAGTATAGAACTTTCTAAACGAATTTAGATTCTTTCCTCAAACAAATTACACAGTATTGTTCCAGAATGCTAAAGCTCAAAGTCTAGTGGGACCTCAGCTTATATATTGAAAGATTTTTAGCCAATTGAGCAGAGTTTACAGCCATATTTACAGGTGAAGATATTTCAATTTCGGGAGGCCAAGATGGGGTTTTGGGGTTTTGGGGTTTTGGGGTTTTGGGGTTTTGGGG